TTCTTTTTTAATTTAGTTGATTGGACACTGTCAACCTAGTTTGGTTATTTGACTCTTGATGGTGCATAACAAATGCAAGATCAGTCATTCGTGCCTGTTTAGAACACTGATCTATCTTCAGACGTTATAAAACATGTCTCTTACATAAATGGTGAGAGAGAGGAGCTGCTCTAGCTAGCTCTGATATGTAAATTATATAAAACCTCAACAATTTCTGGTACTTTCAATGCACAGCTAGATGACAGCTTCTGTAAATCAAGAATGATTTTTGATGCATTTTCTCATTCAAAGTTTCATCAAGTATGTCAATACTCTTTTGCTTGTAATGAAAAGAAATATTGGTTAACACGTTTTATGCTATTACAGCACCAGTTGTTGGATTCAGTGACTGCAAAGCATTTTCTCCTTAGGTTTTGTGAACTTGCGATACCTGTTCATAACTAAAACAATGTATTGCCTTGTCGAATAAGGGTACCAATTTTTTTTGGATTGATGGCTTGATATGGTCTGCTTACCAGACCAATGTATTTTGGTGTTGGTTTCTTTCTGTCATTTATTCTATAGGTAATATCTTACTTTGTGTTATGTATTGTCTTCATCAGCTGTAATATATTCCTTCTTCTAGCACAGTTTGGTCACTATAAAGTAGTCTCAAGGATATGTAGAGACTAGCTAGAATAAGGGCTATAACATCTTCCTCACTCAATGAAAGTCATTATGGCTTGGTTTTGTTTGTTTGTTTGTAATTAAGCACAAAGCTGCACAATGGGCTATCTGTGTATCGAAACCCGGATTCTAGCGTTGTAAGTCCGCAGACATACGAAGTTGCTACTGGGGGCCTCATGGCTGGGTTTTAAGAGCTAGATGGACGAGAGACATTAAGATATCCTCACATTGTGGTTCACATTTGCTGCTGATAGGTATGTGACAGTGACATGCTTATATTTCACAAGAATCAATAAAAGTTTGTCTGTCTGGGATTTCTTTCAAAGGGGTTGAAGGAGTTAACTGTGTATTCAAGGTGTGAAATACGTTTTTATTGAAGTTTACCATTGTACTGAAGTTTTCTCAATCAGCTTCACATATTGCTCTCAAAGATAATTCAGTTGGATTGCCTGTTCTTTCTCAGCAGAATATTCGCGCAAAAGTTAGGTTTCTGTCTTAGATTTCTTCCTTGTTTTAGTTTTAGACCTGAAGAATCGCCTTAGACATGTGAAATGGTGCTTAGCTTTGACTGTTACGAGGTCACTTACTCCTGATAAATGGACACCAAATCTATAGTCTAAACTCGTTTTGAATGTCATTACACTCACGTGCTCTTTTAGCTTCACATTTTGACATAATATACATAACATTTAATTAACCCTATCAAGACTGACGATCATCTTTCAAAGTATGGAGTGCACAGCTCAAATATAATTTCAACATTTAAGTTAAATAATAACCTGATTTTAATCAGTATCAACTCAAACAAATTGTATATTTGATAATTATTATTTTGACATCCATTTAGAGGAATTTACATAAAAATTAGTAAAAATTATCCAACTTACATTTCTGAGCAGCTCTGAGGAGTCTCGCCTATAAACAACATACTTAGCATTTTTTTAGAATTTTTCTGCACATCGTAAAATTTAGACTTATATTTGTTAAGAAATTACCATTCATGTTTTGTTTCTCATGTGATATTCCTTCTCTTATAATGGTTTTATTAGTATAAATTCTCATTTTTTCCTTTTACGATCTTAAAGCATGTGATCTCAACAATTACCAATGAAGCTCAGCTTTAAAAATATCTACAGGCAAAGGATATATACCATTGGATAAGGCATGTTATCAACTATTTAATGTAGAGTAAATAAAGTAGCATGAGAAGCATTTAAGGTTTTGTGGAAAAGTAACGAGATCTAGCTTCTACATTGAATAACAATGGATTCTGATGGAAATTTTAAACGACTTAAGTACGTACCACAGATATGTGAATTTTTTATGGTTTGGTTACATATTCCATTTTAAAACCAGATCTCAATACTCACGCTGGGCAGAGCACAGATGACCCATCGTGTAGCTTTGCACTTAGGAATAAATAAATAATTTCAACTTGCCTACTTTCACATATTTGTTTTGAAATATTATTGCGTCCTTTCAAATAGTCACCATTTCTAGCTAGAAACTGTAAAAAAAAAAACAATATATAAACTGAGAAATATTTCATTAGTATCCTATAGGCGTGGACTTTCCAAATGGTGTCAGAATATACTAAGTAACAATATTTTTGCTAAAGATATTCTTGGTGGAAGTCTGTTTATGTCTGATGTATATACACCTTGTTTTCAATAAACTGCAACATACAGATGATCAATATTTATTAAATAACTAAAGCAAACACACTATGTGTACTTGCTTAGTATCCTGGATAGTCGTTTTAGTAGATAATAAGCTGTTTGTTTCTCCAAACTGTATTGGTCAAGATCATACACCAGTCTGATTACACCTAACATTACTTACTTTGAATGTTATGTCGAACTTACATGAAGCATCTAGTACCACTCATGCTACTTCGTCATTACCATTCAAACTTAAGGGAGATCACAAACTTGAAGATTACCTGACATACCATTGGGGTACACTGATGTTGTTATTCTTTTACAGCATACAGCATTAGAGCCATAAATCCACAAAGAGAGATCAGGTGCTACTTCAAAGGAATGACAAAGAAAAAAGGCAGATACCAGAAATTAATCAACTTAGCAACTTTCTTGACCATATTTTGTGTGAAAATTGCACATACACAGAATAATTGGTTAATTCCAAAAGATACTATATTGAAATAAGAAGATATAAAATGAGTGATGTGCTTTATACCATTCACTTCCTCCCCTTTTCTTTTATCTCAGGCTTGTTTTCAAGTGGATAATTAATTTGAAGCTTTAAACTAATGAAATTATACACATGCACTGGTCATAAAGTATGGTTACTTTCTCTCATTCTTGTAAATGCTTAAATCCAACACAAACAGCAAAAGCCTTTAACAAAGAAAATCCACACACAGTCACAATTGATAAAACACCCTTTTACACTGATGTACAGTCCAATTATAATTTAACATAATAAAGAATACAAAATCAACTTTTACTCACAACACATTATCCTAATGCAAAACCTTCAATATAGAATTATTTGACAATAGCGAAGAACAACTTGTAAAATAAATACAAGTTAAAATATCAATACACATTGAAACATCACATTAACGACGCGAAACAATTATGATAGTCAAACACACAATAAAACCAAAAGATAAAATAAATTTTAATAATAAACAATGTACACACAAGCACAACAGAATTAAAATAAAACATTGTACCATTATTATATCAGAAAAAAATCTACATATTATTAATAATCAAAATATACAATGAAACGTTTAGCGATGAATACATTTGTACAATGGTTAAAAGAGAAAAATACCATTTAATGAGAAATAAAAAAAACATATTAACTTTAGAAAAATTCAATATAAACTTTTTAACAAATAAAATAATCATATCAGAAAATAAATGCAAGAATACAAATATAAAATAGAACCCTTTAACAATGACAATATCAGCCATCTATAATACATAAAGAAAGTTAAAAATCTCACAATTTTAAAAAAACAACGGTTATCTTATACACAATTCTAAAACATTAGATCTTTTCCAGTCTCCAAGTTACCAAAATACAATAACTTACTATACAGAATAAAAAGGGCCTGTCATGGATTGGTGGTTAAGGCGCTCAACTTGTAACCTGAAGGTCGTGAGTTCGAATCCCCGTCACTGAACATGCTCGTCCTATATGTTTGCCGAGCAGGCCAGTCACCCGTGTGTAAAAATCCTTGATTTGGCTTACAAAAATACAGTCCAACTCCAAACTAGATGGGATTAATGCCCTAAAGAAAAAATAATGTATGTAACACATGCACAAGTGCATTCTTGCAGTGTGGTTATCCAATGCATAATTATGCTTCCCGTTTTTTGAAGTTTATTGGTCATTTTAATGACACCTGGTTCACTTAAATGGTGAACTCCCTACTATACAAGTAGAGGAAATGATGTTTAACAAAACTACAACTGTAAGCAGTTCTTTCTTTTCACAACTGTGTACGACTGGCATATGCAATCATGTACTTCACCCCTTCCTGTACCTGTGATAAAACTATGTCAAAATCATAATTAATATTCAAAGTTAAACTGATACACAATTAAAAACATTTTATTTAGGTCTATCTATGACTCTACGACTCAGAACAGTTGTAACGTCGAAACATGTAGAGTCGTCAACTTTTTGAAGGCCATAGATAGGCCTAAATAAAATGTTTTTAGAGTGTCTTAAGAGTGGGTATAAAGAAACAGTCTTTAAAGAATATGTCTTGCCCATATGTTATGGATTTTATGAATTTTTCCATTTCATTATACTTTTAAAACTTTTCTAAATCATAGCATTTTTAAACAATCAGCTGGTTATTCTGAAACTGGAATTTTTATAATTACTTAAAAATATCCACAAAGTATTTTAATAGTTGTAGTATAGAAACTTTGGAAGCTAAGGTGAGACTTGTGATGTTGTTTGACAAATCTAAATAACAATAATATTAGCTAAATATTTTTACTCTTCGTATTGTCTTGAGATAGCCTATCTTAGTAAAAGTGATCACAGGTAGAATCTTACTTCATTTCTATATTTGTATAAAGTTGTGTTTAGTGTAAAGTTTATTCCAAACATGCATCTGTTATTACTTCCTTAATTGTATGTTTTTGTTTATTGACTTTTCCCAACTTAGTTTATAAATTAGAAAGTACATTGCTGTCCCCTTGAAAACTTTCTATCTTTTTATAACATCATTGGTATCTGAAAATCTAATGAGAGTAATTCTTGATATTAAGTTTTAGTTTCATATGATAGTCATTTTTATTAAGCCATTCCATTTTCAAACAATAATTTTTTTTGTTTCCCAGGTTTCACGCTGCCATAATATGCTAGATTTGAGCATTTGGAAAAACAAGGCCTATGTTCTGTGGGTATGGGCAATTCCAATTGCTTTGTTTGGTTATTTTGTGCCTTATGTACATTTGGTAAGTTGACATGCTTGTTTATGAATAAAAATGTTTTTAATTCTGACTAATTTGAAACTGTAAAATGTAGATAGTAAGACCTATTCATTTCACATGTACAGTTTGTTCTAAAAAATTTTAGAATAGAGTAATTTAAAATATAAAGAGTTTGTACCTCCTGTATTGATTAATTGTAACCCTTTAAGTGTAGGAAGTAAAGATTTTGAGATAGTGAACTGTATTGTGTATGGTATGTATATGGACTATACCTACATCACATGTTCAGTATTATTAGAATTCATAAAAATGTATTAGTAGTACAAATATTTGTATTTTTCAAGGTTCAACATGCAAGGGATATTCTTCCTGATGCTAATGGTGAAGTACTTGTGACCTGCATAGGTCTAACCTCAGGGTTAGGACGTATAGTATTTGGTAAACTGGCAGATTTTCCCAGAGTCAACAGAATCCACCTACAACAGGTGAGGAAAAGTATTCATCCATAAAGTAGGAAAATATTCTCTGAATAATGACATTTCTGTCTATCTCTCAGTTTTCTGTTTGTTTATCTATCTGTATATATACAATTGATGTAGTAATAACAAACATAGATGTGCGTGTGTGTAAAGTGTATACATGTCTAAATCGAAATGTGCTTTAAATTGTGATGTGTCATAAATTTCAGTAAAGCAATCAGCAGATTCATAGTACAGCTTTATATATGGTCACAATATTAAGGTGTTAGGAGTACACTGCTGCTTGAATAATATAGCTTGATGTTTTGAAATAGCAAAAGGAACAAAATGCTAGAAAAATCTGCTTGCCTCTTCCCCTTACCACAAAATTCACACAATAATATAGAATATAACTTTTAGGAATTTACTGTTATTTAACAATGAACACACTCAGTGCAATGTATTTAAGCTTATTATATATATTTGTTCATTTATTTTATTGGTTTTAACATTTATTAATAAAAACTTTTCAGTTCAGCATGTAGAATACCTCCATGAACAAAGTGATAAAGAAATCACAGTTTACATTAATGATACCACAGACTAAAGTAGTGTTTAATATGTTTAAGAGTTTAAAGCTGTTTGTAATTTTATGTTATATATTCTTCCTGTGTATGTTTTACTAAATGACCAACATTATACATGGATAGACTGAGAACTTAAAATAACATAGTATATGGACAACAAGGGCCCAGTTGGCCTTCAAGGTTGTACTTGCATACTCACCATTGAGAAAAGTAAACATTTTAAAATATCATTTAGTTTTCAGGAAATAATTAACTTCTGTCTTAGACTCCTGTAAAGTGCTAGCATCCAGTACTGCCAACAGCAACTCATTCTACAAGTTAAATATCCTGTTAAAAAACTAAAACTCTTAATTGGAGCCTAGCATGCCTTTTTTTTTAATATTAAACTTTTGTCCTCAGGGGCCTTTATCCTATTGATCCTCAACATAATTTAGTAAACTTGAATAAAATACTTTTATTCTCCATTTCTCAAGAGAAAATAAGAAATGTTAATCTATCCCAGTAAAATAACCCTTCCAACTGGTTCCCAGAGTCATCTTAGTAACTCTCTCTTCATGATTTCCAATAAGGCAGTATCCTTTCTTAGGTACGGAGACCACAATATTCACAATGTTCAAAGTGAAGCATAACTAGCAATTTGCAAAGAGAGATAATTATCTCTTTTTACCTAAAATATTTATATCAATAAATATACCCTAAAATTCTATTAGCTTTGATACTAGCAACATAATAATGCTTTGATAACATAAATGACTTATCCACCTCTATGTCAAGATCCTGTTCTTCAGTAATGCTATTGAGTGAGTCCTCATCTATGTTAAACAAGTGATCCAAATTGTGATTTTCAAAATGTGTTACTGTACACTTACTGTAATTAAAGATCACTTGCCACATATATGTACAATTAACTAGTTAATCCAAGTCATTGAATTAATGATATATTTCAAAATAACAAAGAATTAAAGCATGATCAACATATCTAAAACTTATGTATAGGAATTTGGACTACACTTCATTATTCTTGTATGCTATATGATAATTGCTTGTTTTTTTTTGTGTGTGTGTGTGTAATTGAGAATGTTTTACTGCTAAAGAAAAGGTAAAACTTGAGTGCTACAGAGTAATAAAGGAAATAATTTTGTTATTCTCATGTAAGACATTTGCTATTACATTCTACTAATATAATTTGTTTTTGTTTTTCACTACAGTTGGCATTTATATCTATTGGCCTTCTAACCATGCTTTTGGTGGTAGCCAATCAGTTTGCAGCTTTGGTGGTAGTTTGTCTACTTTTGGGTTTGTTTGATGGCTGCTTTATTTCACTTCTTGGTCCTATTGCCTTTGACATTGTTGGGTCCAAAGGTGCTTCCCAAGCTATTGGTTTCTTACTGGGACTTTGTTCAATTCCTCTTACTGTGGGGCCTCCAATTGCAGGTGTGATGCATGAGTTTCACAGTTGTCATCTTTTGATAGTTTTTTAAATATCAAATCTTCAATTCATTTTAAAGTATAAAAATATTTGCTCTAAAAAATTAAATGTTGAATTGTCAGATTTTAAGTATAAAAAAATTATAAACAATTATTATGTTCTTAACCTTGTATTCTAATAATGATTTTGATAAGCTAACTTAAATATATATATATATTGATATTTTATTACTTTAATGTTTTTTTTTAATCCAGAAACATTAATTGCTAGATATACAGGGGTTGTACAAAGTAATGGAAACACATGACCTTTTTAACTCCAAGATTCTGTAAGAAGAATTACTTGATAAATCAGCAATAAGTTTATGGGCTTATAACACTAAGATCTGGAACTTAATTCCTCATGGTGAATATAGTGCAAATAGCCCATTGTATTGCTTTGTGCTAAAACAAAGAAATAATTAAAGTCTGAGAGGGTAAAATGTAGCCATATGTGCATTAAATTGTTTCATATGATTGAATTTATCTGTATATGAATAGTACATTATTGTTTTTTAGAGAAAAGTTTTAAAAATGTCTTTAATATTTTCAAAAAAGACTTGATTGTAGGTAAATCTCTAGCTGGATTTTCATTCACATCAATACTTAAAATGATAATATACCTTGATGAACAGTGTCAAAAGTAAAGTCAGAATGAATGTTGAAAAATATAAAGACATCAAACAAATGTAATAGTGGTCACAAAAGTAAATTGACAGATGAAAATTAATATGAGTAGTGAGACAAAAAGACTAAAGTATCAAAAGTGTGTACTGAACATAAAGTTAACCAAAAATGTCCAATAGTCATAGGGAACAGCACAAAACAGGTTACCATGGTAAGTCTGCTATTCACTTAAAATAACACCACAAAATTGCAAAAGCTTGAGTAAAATGGTTTCAAGAACATTAAAGTTGGACTGTGGTTACAACTAGTCAATAATCTTTTACACTTTTATCATCAAATGGGCACGATAATATGTGGTAATGAACCAAAATGACCTTGCAACTCTTAATGTCATATGCTATTAGTCAAGCATTGTGGATGCTCTTTGAGATATGGGCAGCTTTTTTGTTGGAACAATTTTGAGCCTATGATCTCATTGAAAGGTGAAGTGACAGCAAACTGATACTTAAACCTTATTGTGTACTAAGTTCACTCTCTGATGAGCAGTTTATTCCAAAATGGAACTGGTCTGTTTCAAGAAGACAATACACCAATTTGTATTACTAAAATTGGAAATAATTGGTTCAAAGAACATGAGGATGAGTTTGAACACTTAACTTGGCCACCACAACCATTAGATTTAAATACTGCTGACTCTCTGTTGTCAATTTTTATAGCTAATGTTCAAAACCGATTAACACTATTAACATGATTTCAGTAATTAGAAGCTTTGTTCAACGTTGTTCAAAAATATCATTGTTTGATGCAAACACCTTCTTCTATCAATTGCATATGGTATTAATGTTGTATTATCTGCTTGTGGTGTACAAACCCCATATTAGTATATGAAATGCATAAATTGATGTTTCCATTAATTTGTCCAGCCTCTGTAATTTATATTTGTCATTTTTTTAATTAGTTTATTTGATGTTTGAGAGCATTTTTGAAAACCACATGTCAAGTTATGCCATGATTTATTTACAAATCATGGCATAACTGGATTTTTTTTACCAGTATGACTTTCATGTTTAAAGCAATTAACCAGATAATTTATTTTGTATTATCTAAAAGTAGATTGCTCAAATGTTAGTTTTTAATTGCTTGTGTATGAAGTGAACTTACTTTTGGCCAGTTATTAGTTAATTTAGCTGAAAATGATTATGAAACAATCCATAGAAAATTAGCTGAAATTTTATTATATACATTTCAGCATATTTCTACTATAATTTTCAGAAATTCCCTTCTAGTGAGTCAAGTTTGTACTGTTAACTTTGTGACATGTATTTTAATATGAAACACTATTTAGACAATATATATACAACCAATATAGAGGACTTTTATAGATTTGACCTTATCACATAAATCTTTTATAGATTTAGTTGTTGCAATTCCATATGCCCAAGTCATCATTTCGTATAAACGTTTATAAACTCTGACACTGATTTAGCTATTGTACCCAAAAAGTTGCTAGTGTAAGTCTGTTGATCTTGGATAACCTGGTGAGCTTGAAATACTGGTGGCTTAAATACAATAGACAAGAAATGCTCATAGATCAGTAAGTAGCCAGACTAAATAAAATTTGTTTCAAGTATTGTAAAAAAAGTTTTTTTTCTTAGAAATGTTCCAGTACATGTTGCTAAAATTTATGGAATGAATAGAAAATGCTTTCTTTTTATCTTTTTTTTAGTTACATACTTTTTATGTTCCATTTTAGCCTCAATTCGTTTTAACTTATGAGAGATTTACATTGATTCAGTATTTATTAAATGTTCCTAGGGATTTTGTATGATCACTTGGGAAATTATAAGGCAGCTTTCCTCTCAGCTGGTGTACCCCCATTAATAGGAGCTTCACTCATGTGTATTATAAGCAGGGTTTCTCAGGTGAGATTTCCTTAATCTCTTTTTCTTGTATGAACTTTTACAAATAGGAATATTAATATTAAAGAAGTTTTTATAAATAGGATGTCTCAAGTGAAGTTTTCTAAAAAAAAGCTTTTTTGTCGAACTTTCATTTATAAGATTGTTAAGCAAGATTTTTTCATCACACACTTAAGTAGAATTCAGATTAATAATAAAAATTAGTTTGTATTTCAGATTTTGATAAAAACCTTGTGTGACATGATCTTATTAATTAGTTTTATGCAGGTTCAATGAGTTTGAAGGACCTTGTAGTCACCATGTAACCAAGCTTTTGGTAGAAATTATAAGTAGGTTTTATACAAAAATGAATATTTTTTCATAAATTAGTTCTACAAAAGATTTCTCTGTGAACTTACTAAGCCTTTAATGTGTCAGTTTGAGTGAAAGGTGATTTTCATGATACAAATAAAAATATTTCTTTTATCTTACAGTTTTCATATTTTATTTGCTTAACCTTTAGAACCTTCTAAATGCATATCAAAAGTTTTTTCCATGTAACTTTATATTTTATCTCTTATTTTCTCCACTTGAACAACAACTATAGTGAAATCATCAGTGCAAGGAGGAATAAATTGAAAAATACGAAATTCATACCTTCTTTTTCTACAGTGACTGCAGATTGAAACAAACAATTACAATTATTTATCCTAACAGCCTTGGCTTTCTAACCTTTTCACATCTGCTTGCTTTTAATTTTATTTCTTTGCAATACCATTTAGACTTTATATAAGTATGTGACCAGGAGAACTTAGCATAACAATTGATTGAGTTACAACCACATGATACAGTTAACTTGAACTGGCCTCATGAATTTTTTTTAATTTAATTATATTTTTCATTTACTTTTTTATATAACTTTATAATTTTTACATTTTATTCTTGTTAAAAAAAAACATCAACAAACAATAAAAAACAAGAAATTTCAGACTTGCATTAAGGTTCAAGTCTATTTCAGTAATTTGTACCCAAGAGCATCTTAGCACCAGCTTTTTTTATACTATGCAAGTTCTCCACAAAATCATAAATTTTCATTTTAAATATGCATTTTATAACTCAAATATATCAGGCACTAAAATAAAATGCCTTGAAACTATATAATTTAACTGTTTTCCTGAGTAACCTATAAATAGGTTTAAAAAATTCTTTTAGCTGCTTGGATTTTAAAACCAGATTTCAAACAGTGAAACCAAGGACAGGCTTTAAGATTTTCTTAAATAGTTTTTGTTTACTTTAAAGGATGGGACAGCTAAGATGGATCAATAGGTCCCCTTGTTGTCCCTAAACATTATGTTATGTTAAATATTTACTTATGGGTGCCAAAATGAAGGAATAAGGTATAAAGAATCCTGTAAAGAAAAAGCTATAAAAACTTTATAGAAAAGTATTACAGGAATGTAGGAAAAAATAAAATGCTGTAATTAAAATTTATGACAAAGATAAGTAATCCAATTGCAATGTCAGAGAGAGTTACTGACATTTTTTGAAAGACAAAATGATATAGTAGGTTGTGTCATGTGGGTTTGGCAATATTTATTTTATATCAATAAAGCAAGAAGAATGGAGGCTCTAAGTTTATATTCTGGTTTGTCAGTATCTATAGTATCTATTTCTAAATTGTTGGATACTCAAAATCTTATAAGGATGGAAAGAAAATCTGAAATGGGCAATTCGCAGTGCAAACATATCACATGACAGAGAAGTCAAGATTGAGAATTTATTTAAATATTTCCTTTTGGAATTATGAAATTAAAATCTATATAATGTAAAAATATGAATTATGAACTACATTTTGATGCCAAGTTTATTGACTGATATTCAAAAATTATTTGATTAAATTTTAAATGTAACTCTAAAAAAGTTTGTGACATGTACACTATGACCCACTCATTTCCATAGGGTTAATAAGATTGAGAAATTATGTGTATGAAGCTGTTTTGTGTGAAGTTAGACTGCAAATATTGCATTTCTTAAAGTGAGGTTTGATTGAAAAATTCTAATATTGGCTTTTATGTCAAAAAAATAAGTTATAAAGGGATTGTCTTTTTAAATACTTTTGTAGAATATATCCACAATATATTGTATCACCTAAGGACCTAATGCCTATATTGAACCTTCTGATTGGTTACCATTAGAGAAATTTTCAAATTCTTTTGATAATTTTTAATATGAATCTTTGTTAGTAGGTTAGAGTGTGTTTCTTATTTTTCAAAGTAGGACTATTATGCTACTGCATATCAACAGGAAATGCGAAGTTAATATGTTGTTAAAATGATTTTGCAACTCTCTTTAAAGTCTTTAGTTCCTAACAGTGATATAGCTGACTCTCTCATGGATGGCTGCATCCTACCTAGTGAGCAAAATTGAACCACTGAATTAAAAATATGTAGAAAATAAACTTAATCATTCATCCACACATTAAGGAAGATAAAACTCCAGAGTGAAATTTTTATTTATTTAATTTCATACATAAAAGTAAACATATTGCAAAACTTGATTATGAGTTGGCATACTTCGTACAAAATAGTTAGCTTATGTGATTTACGAGATGATTTCCACGCACAGTTTAGCTATTTCCTCTTGAAGTCATAATATTCTGCATTAGATTTGCATGCCACCAGTCTTGTGAAACTTCCACCTAAAATTCATGTTAAAACATGAATTTGCACTACTGCGTGATGATGTATCATGCAGCAAAACCCTTCATCAATAGGAACGTGACACACTTCCTTGCACAAATGCTCCATCTACATTGACATGTGAAAATCCTCATTCTTTTCTTCAGCATAATTGTGCTTAGACTTGTTTATTTTTACTAATAATTGTATTTTCAACCTTTCAATATGAATTCACAGATTAACGTGAATAATTTTTCTGCTGATGTGGGTACAAATATCACTCACAATTACCAACCATTTAGGAAGTTCTTTACTTCTTAAGATCATGATAGCTATCATGTATTGTGAAAGGTGCTGCTCAGGTTGACAATTATATTACCAATAAGAGTAATGCAACATCTTCCAACATTTTGTGGAGTCCATGTTGCAACCTGGACCCTCTTCTTCCATCCCTGCCACACATTTTCCTTCACAAGTTTTGAAGCTGAAGTTGAGAAGAATGAAATGGAGAGACATCTCTACCTAATGAATATCTCTCAACAATTCCTGCCTTACCTATGCTTTCTACTTATTGTTTCATTTCTTTTTCTCTGTTATTGCCACACCCATTATTTACTTCAGGTTTCAAACTGCTCCCACTGTTTTATACCTCATTCTTCCCGCCTTACCAGGTAACATGTAGAAGTTGTTGTTTAGATACAGTTTATTCTTCATGAACATGTAACTCATAAGACTTAATGTTTACACATCATTTATTACTTCTTAACATGTCCACATATGATATATCATTTAGAACTAGTTTGTTTCTCCTTAACTTCTTAGACTATAATGTTTAGTCATAGTTGTGGTTCTCCTTGTTCTTACCTGGGTCCTTCTAGCAGATGTTTCTGCTTTTCCTGGACACACGAGTCCTGTGACCTTGTTTTCTCCAGCTTTAACATTACTGCTCTTTTATTCTTCTTTGTCTTGGCTGGTCTTTCCTTCCCTCATATTCTATGGCTTGAGAAAGTGGTCACTCCCTTTTCCCATATCTACTTCTTCAACTTCTGTTTTTGATGTTATTTCTCTTCCAGACAGATACCCTTGTCCTGCCTGGACTGCTCAGTGTTTTGTCACACTCCTACTCCTTGTGGTTCATCCCATCCTTTCATAACTGGGACACCTCCTCTATCTGGGGGCCTGTATATATACAATATTATGGATTGGGTCTACCAACTCGTACATCTTTTATATGCCTCTCTGACAGCAGATGTTTTGACACTCTCCTGAGACTCCTCTCTTCAGCTTCTCCTCCTTTTCTGTGCTGGCATGTGGACTGCCCCACAATCATTCATCTCACATTACACTATCTCCATCACCTTGTCCCATCTCCAGTGACATACAGACTTCCATCAATGGCCATTCTTCAATTAACCATGCATGTTTAATGGGAGTCAGTATTCATTTACTTATTAATTCATCACATTTCTTCTACTTTTGAATCCCACTAGGCAGTTAGTGTTGCCTCACAAAATATACTTACCCAAAATTCCACATAGGGCCAGGACAACAGAGAGCACTTAGACCATCCACCCTGGTCAAACCAGTGCCCACTGTGAGATAAGGTTTTCCGAATGACAACTGAAGTTGTTTATTTGGTATTTACATACCTTTTTTTCCCAGGCTGATCCTAACTGTAATCATTCCTTGGATTATCATGGAAAAATCCAGCACCAGAGTTGTACTTCTGCCCGCTTGTCTGGCAAGCACTTCCTGGCTTTTAAAAGTAGGGTATTACAGTTGCCCATTGCACTGTCTTCAATAAAGCCCTTTCTTAACTGAAAGATCTATGAGAAACTGGGCAAATTCTTCTGTTCTCCCCTATGTGAATCCTCCTCCCCCTTCGATGGTGCATGGGAGACTCTTGCCACTTACTGAAACATGGAGAATCCTCACTGTTTGGGACCTGAAAGTGGGTGCTAAAACACAGAATTCCTCTATGCTGAGAAGCTGGGGCAGGGGTGTTTCCAGAATGTAGTAAGGACTACCCCAACCTGTATAAATACACCACAACCTCCAACTGGATTTTGGACACACCTTTCACCTATTCTCTTTTCTTCTTTACCTGTTCCTACAAGGACATGATCTCATCATTTCTGCTTGCAGAGTTATTGATATTTCTTAATATCCAACTGTGATGTTTCGCTCATTAACCCTACTCTCACAGCTGATGATGAGTCCATAGAGTTTGATGATTAAATGGTGGTTTTATAAGTATCCATATTTTGTGTCCACTGTTGTGCCCTCCTCCTGTGAATGGCATGGGCCATTAGTGTCTGACAGTTGAGGAGCTGTGCACAGATACCTTTCATATGTGCCCTTCTCCCACAGCTGACATTGACCCATAGAGACTGATTGTCAAGGGGCTGAGCACACTTGTTACAGTCTGAATGTGCCCCAACCCTACTACACTGATTGGTCTTCTGATGGTTTATTTGGCCATATACCTATTCCACCTGACCTTGCAACACCTTTTAGACTTCTCGCCTTTCCTATCCTTCAGTTGGGTGAAGAGTGTACCCTAATTGATATGACATGAGGTCTCCCATGGGTATGAGCCCCTGCCATAAGGTGGTGTTACACCCAATTGGCTTCTTTTTAGTGCTCTTGAAAGGAGGTTCATCTAGATAATTTCTGCACTGGTCCCTCCACCATCTCAATGTGTAATTTTAACTAATCTGTGCACAGAAGTGAGTCATCATCTTGGAATTTAACATTTTCCATACCTGAAAATGTACTTCCAATAGATTCTCACTTCCATGCACATTCCTACTCTTCTATTTGTGTAAGGAGGTGTGTTACACTCTATCGGCGGAGGGTTTTGTTGCATGATACATCATTATGCTGCAGACAAATTCACGTGAATTTTAGGTGGGAAGTTCACAATGCTGTTGACATGCAAATCTAAGGCAGAATAGTGTGATTTCAAGAAGAAATAGCTAATCTGTGCATGAATGGGAATATCTATCAGAAATACATTTTCTCACATTTTTTTGAAAAGTCATAATAGTGCTAGGAACTTGAACATAAATATATTTTTTTTAATTTTTAGCCAATCGCTGTACCTCAACCTTGACTGTCATGATGTGATTTAATTGCCTATACCTTTGCTTCAGAAAGTCATAGGCTAGTGATCTAAACACATAACCAAAGTTCTTCTGGTTGTTTCAACCATATAAACTATTATGGCTTCCAGTTCAGCAGAGATTTTCATTGAGATTGAAAGACAGTGATAAAAGCTTAAAATGGTGACAATTTGCTAGAAAAAAAAGATTTTTGTGTGCAACTTCCTTCACTATTATAGTCCTGGTTTTTTAAAAAGCTAAGCTTACAAAAATTGTATTGTTTTATACTTCCTTTGAATTATAGTGCTCTGACATGATAGGAAAATAATTTTTTTGTTGAACAAGATGAGGTGTGCTTAATTAACTCATTTTTCATTTCATTGTATCAAGTTTTGTTTCACTGACAAGATTGCTGTGTTGAACTTTATTAATTTAAATAACTGGTTAATTTGGCAAAAAAAAATGAAACAGAAAAAACTTAAATGAAAAAAATAAGTTGAAAATATATATATTAAATGAAACCTTCTGTTTAAAAATTTTAAAATAAGTCCATTTAAGTATAATTTTGGAATGGTAAAATAATTATTTTTATTGTATGTCAGTTGTAAACAAAGTAAAACTGTGTGCAGTGTTTTGTGAATCAAAACAGAGATAGAATTCACAGTTTATAAAATAAAAAATTATAGAAAAGCATTACAAGAATGTAGGAAAACATGAATAGCTGTAATTAAAAGCTACAACAAAGATAAGCATTTTTAATTGGTTCTTGAAAAAGGTACAGTTAAATCTTTTTTGAAGTTTTAAAGCTGCATAATATATCACATATAAAAACAAGATTTTATTTGCAGAAGCTATATAAATTGTGCAAGGTTCTTCTAAATATTCAGAATACTTCATCCACTACTGTCATTTCACAATGCAATAAAACAAACCATACAACAGATGTGTGTCAAATTGATGTACCTGAACAGGGTGAAGTTAAAACTTTCTTTCCTTTGCCTTAATTACTCTTTATTTGTAGCAATACCCAAGCCATGCTGCAGAACAACTAGTAGAAGAAGCAGCAGCTGAGACAACCAGTGATGATGAAGAAGATTATAACAGTAAGTTGATTTAGATGCACAAGGTTTGTTCTGATAGTGAATAGATTTGGATAAAAAGTGATATGATAGTAAGATTTCTTGGATTAACTGATTTACAAGAAACACCAATTGGGTTATTATACTGTTTTCACTGGTGTAAAATAAACAGTACACTAAAACAGTGGATTTCATTGCAAAAATATGTTTCATCAGCATTTCAAGTTTAAACTCTCGTCATATAATACACGAGTATTCTCAGTGTAAACTACAATGAGTGTACAAATGTGAATAGTTATGATATAGCATAACAGTATTACTGTTGTTACAAACTATTGTTTGTTTGTTTTCGTTTAAATGGTATATTAGGACTTTCTGCCACATCATTACCTGTATTTACTGTGAGCTTTTGGACTTTATTATTGGAGTTGTTAATAAGCAACTGCACTTAATTGCTATATGCCTGTTTGCATGTAGTATGAAATCATGGGCTTTTGTTTTTTTTTGTCCATCAAATAATCTGTTATTGGGCCCAGTAGCTTACAATATCATATTTTAATGTTGTGTAAAGTTCTTATTTATATCACTTAAGCTTTCATTAATCCTCATTAATATGTTTAAACAACAATTATTTATCATTAATATTGTTTTTTGCTTCCACAGAAGTGTGTTTAACAGGAAAAATGACCAGAAGATTTAATGTATATTTTAGAGTATTTGTTTTATTATATTGTTTCCATTCCAATGTATGTACTTGGAGTGGTTTTTATTAATGATATTTAAACCTTACCATACTAAAAAGTGGCCCAACAGAGAGATACTTCACATAAAGTGTTAATCATGAAGATTTACCTTCATGGGTATTTATACCTTATATAATGACCACTATGTATAATTACATCGAACATAAAACAGTCCACCATGGAAGTAAATATAAAATGAAAATTTTACTTTCATACATATATAATACAGTATACATTTGAAACTTTACAAACAATTAACAATACTTATGAATTTCTGTTGGAACACTGTATGTGACTACTTGCATTTTTTTTACATATTACACTGTAATATTTTGCTCATTAAACATCATCTATTTAAATTTTGAAAAGCATAACTGTTAACACTTTATATAACTGAATAAGTTACTCATACTTCCATCATAAAATAATAATTTAGACAGTCAATTCATAATTATTTCTGGTTCTCTAGTTAAAGAAATGACACAAGCCTATTGAGTAACCACAATTTTATAGGTCAACTCACAGTCTGCTAAGCTAAAAGATTTTACATCTAACCTCTTTTACAATGTTGACACATTCACATAATGAAAATATGAGTATGTCACTGCTGTAATGTTAGTCATTTATAATGAAATTATTATTATTATGCCAAAAACTTTACCAATCTGAAATTCTTAAGGTTATGATTCAGTTCCACAGATAACACCTCACAACTATAAATGGTGCCATATATCAGAATTTAAAAATCATTATGTTTTTAACCATTTACTACTAACTAGATAGAGTGGCTACATAGAAGTTTTCACTTTCTACTATGGAGGATCGCTCTCCTTAAAAGTACTGCAGAAACAAGTGCAATGGGCAGCATGAAGTATAACTGTTTTAAAACTGCTATCATGAAGATAAAATGGTCAACAGAAATACCATTCCATCTAGCTACTACTATGAAGATGAAATGGCCACTAGAAACACCACTCCACATACATATTACCATGAAGATGAAATGTCCACCAAAAACACTACTCTACTTAGCTACTACCATGAAGATGAAAGGGCTACTAGAAACATCATTTCACTTAGCTATTACCATGAAGATGAAATCATTACAATGCTATTCCACTTAAAGTTATTGCATCAAGGTAAAATAGCCATCTGAAACATCATTCCATTTAGCTGCTTCCATGAAGATGAACTGGTTACCAGAAACACAACTCCGCCTAGCTATCACCATGAAGGTGAAATGGCCACCAGAAACAACACTACACTTAGCTACTACCATGAAGATGAAATTATTACAATATCATTCCACTTAAAATTATTGATTACTATCATGATAAAATGGCCATCAGAAACACTACTTCACTTAACTATTACCATGAAGATGAAATGGCCACCAGAAACAACACTACACTTAGCTATTACTATTAAGATGAAATGGCCACTAGAAACACCACTCCAATCAGCTACTTTTATGAAGACTAAATGGCCACCAGAAACACCATTCCAATTAGCTACTTCCATTACTTTCATAAAGATGAAATCATTGTAATGCCATTTCACTTAAAATTATTGTTTCAAGATAAACTAGCTGCTAAAAACATCACTCCATTTAGCTACTATCATGAATATGAAATAGCTAGCAGAAACACCACTCCACTTAGCTGTTACCATGAAGATGAAATGATCATAGCTATTTAAATTTTAGTATTTTATGTGTTTAGTACTAGAAAAAAGACTTACATGTATTAAGTATTGTAATTATCTATAAATGTCTGTAGTCATATCTATAACTTTCTAAAATTTAGATTATTTAATTTTATTTTGCATTTTCTAGTAATTCCCATGGGTCTTATAAATTTCTTTAAAATCTCCACATACAGTGGTTTTATTCTTTTAACTTCTGTTTCAAAATTGTATACATTTTTTCTGGCATTTAGATAGATGTACCATTGGAAATTATTTATTATATACACAGCGTGGTCACAAGTAAATAGACACCACCTTTTCAGAAAAAATTAAATTTTTCAGTCATATTCACATGAATTGATATATTTATAATTTAATTAATATCTAGTAGATCTTCCTTTCGCTTTGTGGATTTTGTTGATCCTTTGGGGCATCGTGAGAATCATCTCGTCAATTTTAGATTGTGGGATTTCCGCCCACTCTTGCTTCAAAACTTGGAGTAGATCGCTCTTCGAAGTTTGTTTTTTTGGTTGTTTCTTGACTTGTCGGTCGAATATGGCCCAGACGTTTTCGATGGGGTTCATGTCAGGAGATTGGCTCGGCCAGGGCAACTTCTGGATACCATTTTCTTTCTGCCACTTTTGGGTGTTTCTAGCAGTGTGACACGGTGCTCTATCTTCCTGGAACAATGTTGTGTTCTTGTCCACGAAACCCGAGGAATAAAGTGGCAAGAGTCCTTCCTCCAATATTTCGACGTATTTCACAAAATTTATGTTGCCAATGTACTCCACTAAGCTCGATCTCCCACCAACCCAAACAGCTCCCCAAACCATCACATTGAAACCACCATGCTTCATAGTTGGCTGCAAGCTGTTGAGCCAAATCTCTTGGTGAGGCATTCTCCAGACCCATATCCTCCCACTGTCCGAAAATTGAGCGAATCTTGAATCGTCTGATAACAATACGTTCTTCCAAAAGTCCAGAGGCTTGGTCATCATATCACTTGCCCACTTCTTTCGTCTGACTATGTTGGCAGTTCTTAATAAGGGCTTCCGTCCAGCTGCTCTGCAACGATAACCCAATCTGTGGAGAATCCGTTGAACAGATTCTGGGCTCATCCCACCAACTTTGGCCACTTGTGCAGTCGTTAATCTGGGATCCATTTCGATGCTCCTCTTGACACCCCTTTTTGTCCTCTCTGATGGACCAGGACGACCCAGATGCTGCTCAGTTGTTTCCTTGCCGTGTTTCCTGAACTGCATGATGATTCTGTTGACTGTCGAAAGTGGGATTCCCAAATTCTGCGAAATTTGCCGCTGACTTATTCCACCATCTGCTTGACCAACTATCCTTCCTCTAACAAAATCTGACAGTTCGAGAGAACCTTGAGTTCTAGGCATGTTGTAGCACAAGATAATTAGTGTGCAGACCATTTTCATTTATATAGTGCTCTGTGAACACAAATTAGTTAGCATAAATCAGTTAAATGACGAAAAATTAGGTGTCAATTTACTTGTGACCACTCAGTGTATATATCATCTCATTGTACAATTAGTATATTTCAATACCATGAATTTTTTTCATTTCCCAGCTATACCTCAAGAGCAAGCAGAAGAAATAGGAATTTGGGAAAAATTCAGTCCAAGCTGTCTGAACACTCCAAAGGAATCTACACAAGAAACATTGCATTATACTGCCAGCCTTATGCATAATGAGATAAAGAAGCAGGAATCCCAGTTACAAACACATTGTTCTGATGAAAAAGACAAACTTTCACAATATGTGATGGAAAAGGAATCCAGTGTTTAAGTTTTATTAAAGATATGTGTGTAATGTGCTTAAGAGTAATAAGATAACAATTAGTAAAACATTTCAAAATTTGGCAAAAAATATATAATTATGGTATTTCTCTCAATTCATATTCTTATCTAACTCCACAAAATCAAATATTTAGCCATTAAGATATGCTCTTGCCCCCCAGCGGCACAGCGGTATGCCTGCGGACTTACAATGCTATAATCCGGGTTTCGATACCCGTCGTGGGCAGAGCACAGATAGCCCATTGTGTAGCTTTGCGCTTAATTACAAACAAACAAACCAAAGATATGCTCTTTCTAAAAGTTCTTTCAAAACTAAATACCAACTCTGGCAATATTGATACAGAAATTACTCACCCCACCTTCAAACTGTTTAATTAGTTTTCCTTGTTTATGCACTTATTAACAGCCAAAAGACTTTATAACATACTTCCTTTAAAAGTTTGAATTAGTAATTCAAGCTTTTGCACTTGTTAAAAAAATTCTCAGAACTCAACAAAACATTGAATTTGTAAATGAAATTTTAGAAAAGTGCACTACAAATCTATTCCAAACTCAAAAACAAAACATTTTCAAACATGGTCGTTGTATGTGTATTTTCTTAAAAGTATAAAAATTTTACGTGTTTATAATTAGTATAAAAAGATGAACAATACCCAAAAAATTGGTTTTTAAAAACTCAATTTGATTCTGTAGAATTACATGAATATAATGATTTAAAATGTTAAATGTTAACAACACATACAAATAGAAATTACATGCATCCATAAGAGTTACTCTTAGTAGGCTTTACACCTATACATATAATTGTTTTTTGCATATTTATTTTATCTTCTTCATAAGCAATGTATGGAAAGACGTCCATTTTCCCAAATGATATTATTCTGATAGTAGAATGTGTCAAAATTCAACAAAATATATGGAGGTGTAGTATTTCAAGCCATGGTCTAAAACTAAGGACTATTGAATTCATATTGGAAAATTTGTTTGCAAAACTTCCATAACTAATTGAATGGCCATACCTTGGTTAGATCTACACAGAGCTGACTGTGAGAAAAAATTGGCTTAGCTAAGTGCAACTCCAATGGACTGACATCCATTTTCCCAAGTTATATTGTGTTGATAAAAACTTGTTTTCTCAGTATTCAATATTAAACTAAATACATTGTATAAATTGAAAAACCAACAAAAAACTTATTGAAGTTTCACTATATTGTATTATATAGTGGGTTAATATTTTTACAGAAATTTTCTGAAAATAACTTGTGCAAAAAACTATAATGTTAATCTACTATCAAATCTTATAACTTATGTTACTAAGTGTTCAGTGGCTGAGCAATTAGTCACCTGGATACAATTTCCACACATAAATGCTAGTATTTTAGTTTAAAATGTCATTTACAGCCTATTTTCCAACTTTTATGTATGTCTTCTGTTTTTCTTTAGTATACGCTTGAAGGCTATATACTAATCTCAACCAGTTTCAGAAAAAATAGCTTCTTGATAAAAGCATTTTAATAATTTCTTGACAAATTTCAATCTAATAATTAACATTTTATGGTATACATAATAGTAAACAGAGATTATATTGAGAATAAATTAAAAAGTAATAATAATAACTTTACCTTTATTATTAGTTAAGGTAGGTAAGTGTACATAGTACTACAGCATATATATGTTCAGTGTATTATTTACCTTAGGTTAATTTGATATACATTGAAGTACCAAAGAATCTTGATCAAAGGATTCGTCAAACATCAGTGCAATATGTCATTCATAACACTGTAGATATTAGTTAACGTAATTAATATAATAATATTTTTTCTTATTCACAGTCTATACTTGTGTGTTTTTTCTTCTATCATACTTCAATCAAAAATGGGATACTTAACTGTTTTATGTATCTCTTTCTGGAGTTTTTGCATAACCTTTGATCAATCAAAATTTGAAGATCATCCAAAAATAACCTCATATTTGTAGTTACAGAAGTAACTATAAATCATTTATAAGTAATTCTAACAACCATCATTAAGGAAATAACCCTATAAATCCCTTTATAAGTAACTCTAACAAACTTGATAGTAGACAAAACAATTCATCACTTGAAAGTATTTGTAACACTTATGATAGCAGGGACAACATTTCATCTCTTGTAACTAACTTTAACAACACACAGTTGCAGTTAGTGTAACAACCATGGTAACAGAAATAGCTATACAACACTTATGTTACTGTAACGGCTATAATAAGAGGAAGAATTATATGTCACTTGTTAGTTCTCTTAACACTCATTGTTGTTGGAGTAACTTACCTGTAAGGCAACCTAACAATGATGGTTACAAGAATAGTCTGTACATTACTGACAAGTAACTGTAAAAATTATATACTTCTACATCTAGCAGTCATTTTAACAGGAGTAACTTTCTTGTAAGTAACCCAAACAACCACTTTGCAAGAAAAAGTCTATACATTAGTGACAAGTAACTTTAACAATCATGTGCATTAGTAGGAACAACTGTACATCACTTGTATTAAAGTAGCCCTACCAGTCATTGTAACAAGAATACTTTTGTGTTTTACTTTATTTGTGAGTGATCCTGACATTCATATTAACAAGTATAACTGTACATTTCAGTGATTGTAAGGATGTTATTGCTGGTGTCATATTGGAAAATCTTCTGACTAGTTTAATATTAAATAAGGAACTTTGTTTAGAATCCTCTGAATAGGACTAAAGGTACAAAATATTTTGTATATTTATAATTATTTTTCCTTGAAAACAGCTCACAATACCACATATCACCTTTGTATTTAGAGACTCAAGGACTTTAGTTTTTATACCTGTTGGATCTGTATAATATTGAAATTAAAACTTATACAGTCAGCCCTCCATTTACATGGTGGTTATGTTCCTGGAAAACACTGTGTAACTTGAATCGTGTAAATAGGGGGGTTAGGTTAAGTGTTTAAGCAAGTGTTAGACAAAGGTTTTTATCAAAAAACAAATGTTACACCTTAAACAAGTATTTTTATTTAACAATTTTAATGAAATTTAAACTTGCTATTAACCTTCAATGATGAGAGGCTGAGGAGTCAGGATCATGTCTGCTTGTTGAGTGTGGAGTGGAGCTAGTGGTGGTAGACTTGCAAAAAACTGGTGATGGGCAGTTGTTTGGCTTTATTATGCAAGTCTTTGTATACTTCCCTGTATGGTGCCAAAGCATCCACTATTTCTCTCTTGAACTTCAAACTGTGCTAGATGACTGAATCCTCAGCAAAAAAAAGATCTCCAAATTCTTTGGCCAATTGAAAACCTTTATCAAGGCTTTTCCTTGTCAGCTGTGGCTTTGAAGCCATCATCCCTTTGTCTTCATTTTCTTTGTTATTGGTGCGTGACTGAATCAGCTCCTGTAGCTCTTCCTCATTCAACTTGGTGTTGTGGGACTCAAGTAGCTCCACTACCTCCTTTGCCTCAAAATCGTCAAATCCATCCCTTCCAACATGATGACCCAGCTCCACTATCTTCTCTACTTCATCTCACAGTACTAGGAAACTACATTTACTGCCTCCCACCACAAATTCTTTCAACATGTTTTTAGGGTAGAAGGCTTTATTTCATCCAGTGATTTTATTATACGTTAGTACATTTCGCTATCATGTACTCATTTCAGCACTGGCAAGTGTAGTATGCCTTGAAGGTTGCTATAACACCTTGATCAAGCAGCTGCAGGACTGACATAGTGTTGGCAGGCAGGAAGACCACTTTCATGTTTGGATATGCAATTTTAAGGCTTTCATGGTGGCATGGCACATTATCTAGGATCAACATGACCTTAAATGAGAGGTTCTTTGATGCCAGGTAGCATTCCATTTCATGTACAAAACAATTATGGACTCAATCCAAGAAAACCTCTGCAGTGATCCATGTACTCATATTCATTCTTGCCTTTGAATGCATGGGGATTCAGGGGTTGGTAAACATCAGCTTTTTTCACAGAGAAGAAGGGTCAATCTATCTTTCATAGCCTTAGATCCTGGAGCATATTTCTCTTCTTTAGAAAGAAATGTTCTCTTTCGTATTCTCTTCCAGAACAAACCAGTCTCATCAGCATTTAAAACTTATTCTGGTTTGTACTCCTTCTCTTTGATGAGTTTGGCCAGCTCCAGAGGAAAGTTCTTTGTTACCTCATGGTCTGCAGATGCTGCTTCATCATGTAACTTAACATTATACAGGCTATACCTCTTTTTGAATTTATTGAACCAGCCCTTGCTGATGAGAAAAGAGGATACCTTGGCTGCACTGCTTTCCCTTCAATTTAATGTATCTTCCTGTTGTGATGGTCATATAACCTCTTGGCTTTCTTTGTTATCAATGCCCCATCCAATGAAACCCTTTTCTCTGTTTGATCCTCACTCTGCAGGATCAGGACCTTCTCCATCTTTTGTATGTTAGTATCACAAGTGTAGAATGACACTTTAGTGCCTTTAAGTACATTTACAGTGATGCTTGATGTAATTTCCTCTCCATTTCTTTTCACTGTATGCACATTTTCTCTCCACAGCATCTTTTTCTGTACATGTCATGAGGTTTTAGTGAGTTACATTCAAAGTTTAATTAAAGTACTTTTTTCATGGTATACCAATAACTAAAGCATAAACATGTAGCTAATAAACCATATTTAATAGTATATAAGTTTTAAGTTCTTAATTTTAAAAGGCAATACTAGAAAAAAAATCTGAATTACCACTTTGTGTGAGAATTGAGACATTTTCTCTCTAGACATCCCCTCTTCTCTAATTTATTTACCACCCCTCCAAGAAATAAGATATATGATGTAAATTACTCATTATAATCTTATCATTGCTCGGGCAAAGCATAATTTTCATAGCCTTCAATCTCATTTAGTTACAAAGCCATCAAATAGAAAATCAGACCCCCCCCTCTTGCCAAGCCCACCTGTCACATCCTCTCTTTCAGAAATTGCCAATAGATTTCTCTGATGTTCAATATTATATAGAAAGCCAAGGTTTTCATATATCAAAGGATATATTATATTGTTTTCTGTACAGAGAATTGTCAGTTTGGCTTTCAGTTCAAGCTTTATTTCCATGGCAACACATTGACTAGCTTTGATGAATTTGTAATGGCTCTTGTCACATGATTAGAAAGCCAGAAAATTTGTGATAGTTATGGAACATTGTCTGCTTTTTTCATGTTATTCTTCTGTGTTTTTTGTTTCATTATATAATTAAACAAAAATTGTTTAATGCAATACTACCATTAGTTTAAAAAAGTAGAGTTAAGTGTCTTAAACAGTTGACTGCAAAAAAAAGTCTGTGTATTCTTTATGTGTTATTATAAAAGTAAATGAAATGCAAAAAATAGGGAAACCTTTTAAGTTAGTTAATGTTAGGTAAGGTAAAATGAATAATGATAAAATAATAAAAACTTTTCACAAGGTAGGGTACGTTCATGAGCAGCTCTGAGTAGCTTGTGCATAATGTAATTCAACATTGTAAGGTGAGCTGCACATTCACCAAGTGATTTACATCTTTTAATGGCACGAATAGTAGTTAGACATGGGTTAAAGGGCGATAAAACAATAAAATTTCAAAATAAATAGATGTGTACTGGTATGAGTTTAAAGCTATTTAAGATTAACAAATGTAGTTTCATGTTACAATTTCAAATCATTCTAGACAGAAAAATAGAGTAATTTATGTTTATTTAGTGTTTTTTTTTTTCTTGGTGGTTATGAGGTCAGTCAAATTGACCAACCTGGTTTAGAGATAGAGTAAATAAAATATAAAGTTTTAGTGGAAAAAAAACATTTGAAATTTATTTATGGGGTTCTAAAGATTATGCAAATGAAATTTTAGATTTTTGAGATGAAGAAAAGTATTTTTAATCGTAATGTTGAAATCGCTTTGCACTTGAAATAGTAACAAAAAAGATTATATATATATATTCACGGACAAACTTTTAGTTAAAAAATACATCATTAAAAAATCTGATTTTTTTTATACAAAAGACTTGTAATGTTTACTAAATGTCTGCCAAATTTTGTGAAGATACACATACTGTACTAAAAGTTATACTATGAAAACTATAACTAGTACAAAGTGGTTACAGGGTTGGTAAATTCAACCAACCTCTTAGTTAGAGAGAGTTATGGCTCAAAGCTCTAGCCACAGATAAGCCTTCACTCTTAGCAAGCCTATCCAAAATCTCCATTTTTTTGTATTAAAGCCAATGCTTTTTTCTGCCTCTTTACAGTTTGTGTACCACTTTTTGGGCTACTACTTTCATTCGATTTCCTCTCTGAGCTCATGATAAGCATGATAGAGCCGCCCAGGGTCTGTTGCTTCCACGTCCGATCTACTGATCTGTAAATCGTTCATGCATATACTCCCAAACAATGTTTGCATTGTGACAAGATGCACCATCTTGCTGAAAGACGATGGTGTTCAATATCCCATCCCCAACCAACTGGGGTTCGAGGTACTACTGCAACATGTCCAGATAAAAAGCCCCTGTAACTGTAGCTTCAGAAAAGAAAAAGAGTCAATAAATCTTAGATTTAGTCAAATCCAACCAGATATTAACTTTAGGAGTATCTCCTTCCCATTGATAGGAGAATTTTCTCATTTATGATTGTTTAGTTAATTATTGAAAATATTTTCTTGGTATTACTTTATGGTTTTAATGATATTTGTTAATATTTTCATATTAATCATCACAATATAATCTCTCTATAGTGTTTTTTGTAACAACTGTGTAATGTTAATTTTGACATATTTTCTCAATTCTTGATAGCTTCTAACACTTTGATTTTTTTCATTATAATCTTTATTTATGTTATAATGTTAATTCAGAGAAATATTTTTCTGTTATTCCTTTAACAAAGTTATCTTGTTAATCCTTTGGAGGCTTTTGTGTATATTTCGTTTCTGCAAAGTGCTACATTATTAATTTTTGCCATTCTTTGATATTAATCCTTGGTAGAGTTTTGTATTAATTTTTTGCAATGTTGCATTGATAATCTTTTGTAAAGTTATCATGTTAATCATATGATGTGCTTTCTGTTGACTGTGGGCATTTAGTCTTAGTCTTAGTTCCTCCCGTTCCGTTGGGAACATTGGTCAACGAGACCTCGCCATCTGCCTCTGTCATGAGCGGTCTCCACTGCTTGGTCAAATGTTAGATCCACCAGTTCCAAATCCTCTTTAAAAGTTCTTCGCCATGTCTTCTTTGGCCTTCCTCTCCCCCTTCTCAAATTTGGCGGCACCCACTCCATGGATTTCTTTGCTGGTCTTGATATTGGCATTCTCAGTACATGCCCTGCGAATCTAAGCCTTCTCTTATTAACAGATTCTTGCAGGTCCCTTTGACCTGCCCTTCGCAAAACTTCATTTCTCACATGATCTCTATATGATATTTTTAAGATTTTTCTCAAACATTTCTGATGGAATACATTCACTTTATTCTCCATAGCTGCTGTTCTTCTCCAGGTTTCGCTAGCATATAAGGCTGTAGGTATTACAATGGCGGAGTATAATTTGATTTTAGTCTCTTTTTCTGATGGTGCTCAAGTTCCAAATAGGTCGAAGCCTATTGAACACACCTGTAGCTCTATTAAGTCTTGCTTGAACATCAGTGTCTGATTCTCCATTAGCCACTATCTTACTACCCAAATACACAAAATCTTGTACATCTTCAATCTCTGATCCTTCAATCGTTACTGCCCTGTCCAGATTGTGTCCGACTGTCATGGTCTTAGTTTTTGTAGCATTTATTCTAAGCCCAACTTTCTTACCAATCTCTTGCAAATTCCTTGTCATATCTTGGATGTTATGTCTATCTTTCCCAATTAAAGCGATATCATCCGCAAAGTCCAAATCAGTTAAAGTTCCATCACCCCACATTATCCCATCACCAACATTCATAGCTTTTTTTCATGACAAAATCTACCACCAAAAGAAAGAAAAAGGGAGATAACACACAACCTTGCCTCACTCCACTGTATACATTAAAGTACTCCATGGTCCCAATGTTAGTTTTTACACAACTACTGGGCATTATTCTCTGTTTAATGTTTACAACATCTTGCTCATTTTTAGAACTGACGTTCTTCTGATACTGGTATTGTTATATCTTTTGACCTTTAGTAGGACTGCTAAAAACTGTTTATTGTTTCTATTGTCTAAAGATCTTTTATGTTTTCTTGTGTTGAGTACTGAATTCTAATCAGAAAGATACAAGAGCTATAATTATAAAATTTGTTATTTTTAACTTTCTGTACAATGAGAAACACGTGCAAAATTAAAATTAAATAGATATGTAGCTTTTTAAATGATGCGTGTTGTGTATTCTACTATTTTAAATAATATGGAGATACAGAACTAGTAATTATAATTAGTTAATTGTTAATTTTGTGAAAATTCATCATAATCAGTGCCATATATGACAATAAAATACAGTAGATAGTGTATAGGTTCACTAGAAATTTCTGAATTTATTCTTATACAAAGAACAGACGGTGTTCACAATAATACACTGTAAAAAGAGACAATATAATATTGAAAAAAAATATTTATGAGTTCAGTTGTTCAGAAAATTCTTATTATATGTTAAAGGGACAGGAGCACAAGACTTAAGAAAAACACTATTTATCTGTGGTTTTATGCAAAATGTCTTGAAATGTTCCCTTGAAACTTCATACACACTTTTTGGGTCTCTGACTGTTATGTAGGTAAGAATTAGGTTCTAGAAAATTGGAGGAATGGAAAAATGTGTATATTGTTCAATCACTTGAGTTGTAAAGTAATAGTTTACCAGTTTTTATATTTTTATCGTAGAATGTAGTTTCATAACTGTGATAACTGTTCATAATGTTATAAGGAAAAATAATTTATTAAGACTGAACAACAAGTATAGTATATGGAAGAAAACAGAACAATGTTGTACTTCCATACAATGTTTTTTGTAGTACAAATTTACTATACTTCATTTTTTTATATATATTCTTCAAAAAGCCATTGATATTTATAACACTGTTACAGACATTTGAAAAAATCACACAGCCTCCTCCATGTGTGGTGCATTATCCATAAATGCTAAAACAGGATACTTTCAGTTATTTTTTATATAGATATGTTAATTATCTTAATTAAGTTTCATCTGATATTTCAAAATATATACTTTTTGATATTGCTTTAGTCTTAAAAGTGTACCCAGGGTTTTATGTTGGGTTACATACACACTGATATAATTAATTAAGATCATTATTCAGCAATGGTGACAGAGCTGTAATCAAGGTAAGAGTTGTATTCAATTTTCCAAAGTCTCGCAATACAGTAGTTGGTTTATTTGATTGAACTTTAATCAAAATAGATTTAAGTGTGGCTCAGTCCTAAATTAAGTTTATCATGAAGTGGACACTCTGTAAGGTCATGTTAACTAAGTAGCAATCAGGTTAATCTTAAGTTGCTGTAGCTAGTAAATTAAAATCTATATGTATAGGTTTTGATATAGTGAGTTGTGATCAGATTGTAAATTCCCTAACATTCTAACAGATGATAAAATAGAGTAATTTCATAATTAGCTCATGTAATATTTTCCAGTTCTTCAGTGAATGTTAGAAACTGGTTAACTTTGTGTTGAGGACTTATACATTTTTGTATATTTTAACTGGTGATATAAAAAATAAAATGTTTGGTCAGGTCACCTAACTTTTGACTTATGTACTTGTAATAAATAACTTGTAACATTGTAGTTTAATTCAAACTCATAAATAATGGAGCTATAATTTTAAAACTGTTTATTTGCAAATCTGTACAATAATAAATGCATACAAAATTAAAATAAAAAAGATGAGCAGCTTCTTAAATGATACATGTTGTGTAATTTACAATTTTAAATATTAAGTTATTTTTCTTTAGATTTTTTTAAATTCTAGTATAGTGTGCCAAATTGTTATGGTAAAATTATTTAGAGTCTAATCACTGTTGACTTGTTGGTATTTTACATTTGATTTTGAATTTTAAAGGCACTTTATTATCAAGGTTTAACTCCATCACTTTCTGTACACATATATTTTGCTTGGTTAGTAGTTCTTTTGCAGAAAACAAAAGCCAACTGTTGTGTTTTTCATAACAGCCTCAAATAAGTTATCAATTTACAATTAAGTTGCATGATACCTGGCGAAATTCAAGTCTGACACAACATTTCTAAATGAATCATGTTTAAGTACTCAAAAAATAATAATTTGGTGCCTTTAAAATTTTGTTATGCTTTTATAGTTGAAAAGTATGTATTTGAGTCATATCTTTAAAACAATAATTACAGAAGCACATTTTAGACGAAAAAAGTATCTGAATTTGGTGACTTATAAAAAGTTTTGGATATTTAATCATGTATTAGTATTTCAATTTTATTATCTAAAATTAAACAATAAGTTGATGTTTTATTAAAATTTGTTTCAATTATTGTTTATAGCCTTGGTGAAAATATAGTTAGCTCCTTTTATTTGTATTTTAGTTAGCAAAATAACGTTATATGTAGAAAAAATAAATTTATATTCTTGAACATACCTGTCATATGTGTTTACAATGAAATCAGACAATTTCAAATACATAATTTATCATCATTGAGCATATCTAGGGTTGAAAATAGACCGAGTTGTCAAGGGAAGAAGTACCTTTATGAAGGATAAGGATTTATTATTTAGTAGGAATTTGTAAGATGTAAATGCTTCCAAGAAGTATCATCTCTTGCATCCAATCTTCAGGCAATAGTGGGTATATCAGTTACCCCCAAAAAATTTGAAAAGTATTGAAGACCGTCTTGATTTTTATTGTAATAAAACAAAAGGTATAGGTCAACTATAATCGTGTGCCTTGTTTTAACTCTAACAGTTTGGTTAATAATTCATCTTTTACACTTAAATGTTTTCCACGTACATTAATTTAAGAAAAAGTAACAACTAATTATATTTTTTCCTTCATACCACATTGAAAAAATCCAGGTCTCGTCCGATCTGTACAAATACCCAATGCTGGTCCCAGTTAGTACTTAGGAGGGTGACCACCTCGGGAGAAGAAGAAGAAGAAGAAAAAAAACAACTCCTCATTATTAATACTTTCTTTTATGTAATAAATAATCCTATGGCTCAGTTATAAGCTTGAGAACTTATAATGCTAAAATTTGGGATTTTATACCTGAAGTAGGCACAGCACAGATAGCCCATTGTGTAGCTTTGTGATTAACAATGAACAAACACTGTTAACAACAGTAAATACGTTTAGTAATGGGCATTGATGAGATTTAGACTAGTATGTTACTTTTCTGTTCTTTATATTACTTTTTTCATTTATAAACATTCAAGTACGCCCTATACAAAGATAACACCAGAGATGAATAAAACAAGTTTAGTAAAAATTATCATATTGCATTTATAAATATTACAGAATTGTAAAAAAATCATAATGTGCCTTGCAAGAGTATTAACCCTCTACCAATAATGTCATGTTTTGAAGAAATACCAGTAATGTGATCAATTTTTTAATGAACTTGTTTTTATTCAAAACTCTAATTATCATTGTCGATGTATGAACATCGACTCCCATCTCAGACATGGAACTTTGCAAATCTTTCAAAGTCGCTGTTGGCATTTTAGCATTGTTTGAACTTTTTTTGTGTGTTAGTGATTGTATCTTTGTTTGTTCACATGAAATATTTGATTCTCTATTACATTTGTAGCTCTAATTTTCTTTTCTGTGAAACGTAAAGCTCATTAGAAAAAGATCAACATCTGTGTATGTGTTTGTACAATGCTTATGGAACTATTTATGGTGCCCCCAGTGGCACAGCGGTATGTCTGCGACTTACAATGCTAGAAGCCGGGTTTCGATGCCTGTGGTGGGCAGAGCAAAGATAGCCCATTATGTAGCTTTGTGCTTAACTTCAAACAAACAATCTACTTATGGCTCATGAAGTCCTGGACTTGGTTTTGATGATGTAGCTCATCACCTGCACTACAAAATGGCAAAATATTTTTCAAAAGATGTGAACTGTTTGAAAGGTTAACATGACGTGGTGTGTGAAGGTTTTCTGCTTTTATAACAAATTATTTGGTCATATCATTATTCTTGGAAATATTTATTTTTCTTTGCTTTTGAAGGTAATTGTTCTGTAAACTGCAATGCTCTTTATTCTTTTCTGCCACTTCATTTCTGGTTTATTTACTCTAAATTGATTTAATTAACTCGTGTTGTTGTAGAATATGCTAATGTTTTCTATGGTCAAATCGATTTCTTTCTTACGGACACTAAGTTGTAGACAAAAACTACGATTCTAGTGATTGCATGACACCAGTACCGTATATGGCTTTGGGAAATAAAATTAAATGTTGATGAATGGGGACAATGACAGGTGAAATTAGTGGTATTAAGCAAAATGCCCGATTTTCCTCTTATGTCTATCATGTAAAGATGTAAAGACACCGTTGTTAAACTTTCATCTTAATGACTCATGTAAAACAAGATCACGATCCGACAGCTCATTCTGTGCAACATCCTAGCTAGTCTTACTGTTGTTTTTTTTTTATTTTAGTCGCTGCTCTTCATTTGCTGGAAGAGACAACAATTTATACTGCTCCATTCTTACTTCTGTGATTCCATACAATTTGTATACAACTTCACTTCTTTTGAACTACTTCTCAATTTCTTCATTTCAGCACCTTTATACACTTTTATGTGCATTTGCGAATATCATGCATTTCAGAGTGGGAAAAAGACATCATAATGTTTAATATTTATATTTTATGTGTTCAGAGGGGGGAAGATATAATTGTTTTCTGGCCTGTTATAAATAGCCAGCTGGTTTATTCCTTTGTCTTTTCCCAAATCTCATGAAAGTCAAAATAAAATCGGTTCTGTGACTTTAA